AAGAGACAATTACAGAAATCCAGGGAATATTATCAAGACCCTGACCTAGCACAGGGTCTTGAAAATACTCAGAAATTAAATTAATGCATTGAGAGCAAGACTCCTCGTTCTTTTGAAAATGTTAACACTGCTATTCGCCCAGTTCTCCAGAAAGTTTCACTTATCTTTTTTCCTAGCCCTCCTTCACCTGGCCACGTTGGTCGGCGGCGCTGCAGTACTGCTTCTCCGCGCCCAGCAGGGGGCGATAGGCACGCGCGGCGGCTTCGCAGAAAACCGGCTACACCCGCTGCGTCTGAGATTCGCTTGCAGAGGTGCTACAGTCCATTCCACTGCAACATCCTAGGACTCTTAGATGACAAAACCGTAGACGCAAGCGCCAACCCCTAGGCCTTCCAGACAGTGACTTCCTCTCTTCCTCTTTGGCTGTCTCGCAACCCTTTCCCGTTCCCTTGCATTTCCCCCCACTTCCGCTTTTCGTGTGTTCTTTCTGGTGTTACCGACACTTTCGTACCTCCCTACACCCCAACCTCGGCTTTTGCCGTGTTTACTTTTCAGCTCCTGGACTCCCGCCCTCACCTCGCCCAGGTCCCCTTCCTTTCCCCGGCGCCCTATTCTGTTTCCCTACGGGCTGCCGAGACCGGAAGTCCCTCCCTCCTCCAGATGCCCATCTCCTGGGGCCAAGTAGCGGTCTTCCTGTCTTTGCCCTCCCCAGGGTTCCGAGCGAGGGTGGGAAAGTCGTTTCCTGTTGTGTTTATGTCACCAGGGAGTGGTTCGGACCCTTCCTCTGGTGAAGGGTTTTTGATTTCTGCAGGAAAGAGTTCAAGAGCAAGTTAGAAGCAAAACCGAACAGTTTGCAGGACAGTTGCACTGTCCACGTCAGAGGGTGGACTGGCTGGACCGCGGAGTCCAGGTCCCCTCTGGGTCAGGGGTTTACCTTGGGCCACTAGGATGGGGATCCTGAGGTTAAGGTGTGTATAGGTGAGGGTTTCTGGTGCTAGACCGTTAGGGCTCGCATGAGCCAGATACAGTCTCCTTTGATTTTTCATTTTAGGAGATCTGGTATAAATTTATAAAGGCGGATGCTTACTGACTTTGTGCCTGCTTGCCCTCTTTTGCAAAATAAGTTAAACTGTAAAATTGTATTATACTTTAGAGATTCCTGTTCTGGTCATTGATTGTAGTCTACTGAATTAAATTGTGGCCATGCTGTGTTACAGGAAAAAAAATATGAGGTTTTGCTTTTTTAGAGAGGAGGTTTTTGCTATAGGGCGCGTGCGCTCTCCAGAAAGACAGAGAGACAGAAAGCAAGAAATCATGCCCCAGGGGAGATGGCCATGACAAAATCCCATCTCCTCTCGGTATCTTGGGCACACGCGCACACACACCCAGCGTGAGTTTAAGCCACCGGTTCCAGGACTCGAACAGTGATCAACTACATGAGAGTCCAGCGACATAGCCATTATGCTAACTGCTGGTCCCTGTTTTGTTTTGTTTTACTGTGCCATAGAGTGTGTGTGTTCTCCCCTGAGAGAGAAAGAAAAAATGAGGAAGCAACTCTCTCCCATCCCTCTGAGGTAGGAAAGAGGGACCCTAAAAATATAGTATGGACACAAAATGGAATAAAACGGCTAAGTTTTGAGATGGAAGCAGTGGTGGCTCAATGATTGACTTAGACAGCATTACCTAGACCTAAAACAGAGGCTTTTTCCAGCCCTACCACCTTCCAGGAAGAAGATAATAGTTTCTTGACCCAAAGACACAGAATCTCCTGACCTTGGTACTGGCTTCAAGATTAGGAAAATAATTGGACCTATCCAACCTGTACTCCTCCCTACCAGGAGGGAAATGCACAAGCCCCACCTAGAACCCAAGGTTGGACAAAGCCCTTCCTGACCCAAATTAAAACCTCTTGCCACAGTTCTTCTTTGGCAACCCATTTTCTGGGACTCCTCCCTCCTCAGGAGATCTGTTTTTCCTTCCCTCTCCTTTCATAAACTCTTCACTTTGTTAATAAATTCCCTGCTTTGCTAATTAACTCCCTGCTTTGCTATACCTATCTTTGTGTCTCCAACTCTTAATTCTTCCTGAGTGTGGGACAAGAACCTGTGTCTCACTGCAAATATGGGCTTGATCGCCCCTGTGTCCCTGCATCATGTATTGGCTGGGAAACATCTAGACTCCTCTTCTTCACATCAGAATGGTAAGTAAGGTGGACTTTCCATTCTTTATTTTAGGACACTCTTGTCCCTAGAAACTAGCTCTATCAGACAAAATTACCTGACATTGAACCGTCATGTAAAAACAATTAGGGTGAATGACAGTCTACAAGACTCCGATGTGAGGCTGGCTGGGAAAGCTTCAGCATTATCAAAATGTTGAGAATGTTGGCTGTTTTGTGACTCAGTTTCCATTTTGAGAATCTTAACAATCGCAGGAAAGGTGAATGTTCCTGGGGCAATTGATGGTGCATGCTGATCAGGGTTACTCTCTGGTGTATTCTGAAGGCCCTGAGAATTTAAAGCCATCCCCCCATAGCCCAGCTGGTTAATGGGGCAAATTCCTTTCTTTCCTTTCCTTCATACTTTTTCTCTTACCCACCAGCAAGAAAGTGATATATATGTAGGAACTTGCCATCATTCATTAAAGAAAGTTAAGCTGCACTTTGCTCTGCCAACCTGCAGGGCCCTAGAACTAGGGATGCCAACTGTTGAATGGGAGAAACTGAATGTCTCTGAGCAATTGAAGGCATCTGCACAGGCCACTTCCTTCCAGAATTGGAAGGCTGTGAGGTTGAAAGTTCTTCTCCACTGCTCAACTGAGTGTCAGAAGGAGTTTCCCTGCTCTCTCACCCTCAAGCCCACAGAGTCTTTCTTCTCCTTCGTATGGGTCTAATCAAAACTGAGCAGGAGATCCTCTTTCTCTATGTGTTCTAAAGTCTCTGTTGAACAGTCCTCCTTTATCCCCTCATAATGATCAACCAGTACACAGAAAGAGCAAAATATGCTTTAGGTAAGATAATTAGGACTCCTCCACCTTCAGTATGCATGTGCTATAAATTAGATTGGCATTGTTGAGAGGATCATATATTGCCCTTGCCAGGCTGGTTTTCTTCTTCATTCCTCTGATAGAAATAAAAAGTTGTTTGTTGGCCCTTGGGGACACCTGCTTAATCACTCTTTTTCTTGGTCCCCATGCTACACTGTTCTATATCACCTATGAAATTCTCAGTGAATTCAGGGTGCATTCTAAGCAGGTTCTAAGTTAGCAAGTCTCTCTTGAGTTAGGTCCTAAATTGTAGTATAGTGTAGGAATTAGGGAAAAGGTGCATATAGGGTTAATGGTAAATGTGGCCACCAAAAATATAAGACATCAGATTATGAGTTTAGCAAATATGTTCACCAGCAACAGCTATTGGGTCAAACAGGAAAGATTACCTGGCATCCTAGAAACCCTCCCTGTCCCCTCTCTGACTCTAATCTCTCTTAGGAAAATGACAGCCCTTTTTTGCTGAAAATTTACAATTTCACTTACAGCAGTTTTATAACTGGGTAAGGATGTCCACAGGTCATACCTTAGTCCATTCCAAATGGAGAATAAACTCCATGTAAAAGAACTTAAGAATTTTTCCTTTCCCATTTGTTCCTCAAATATCCCAAATCAATGGATGGAAACTGGTCCTCAAGTCTTGGCCACTAATCTTATCTATGGTAACCAGGCCACCTCCCCTCTAGATGCCCTGAACTGAGCTCTCAGTTCTCTCTGTGACTGCCATGAGCCACTCCCACTTGAATTATTTTCCCAGTTACTCCACCTCGGTACAGGTCTTGATAATGTTCACTTCCAAGTTCAACTAGTGTCTCAGGAAATATTTAGAGGAGGACCCGATTGGTAGAGAATAATTGCCTTCTTTGAAACATTTTTCTTCTTAGTCTTACTAGAGTTTAAATATTCCCCTTAGAGTAGATGGGACAATGGATGAGAATATGTGCCCCAAACCATATAGCACACTGGATAGACTCGCATGAAAGATGGTGAGAACTCTTATATTCAAACCTTTTGGGCTCTCTGACAATTTGTTTCTATGTACTAAATGTCAGAGAGATCCTTCCTATTGTCCTTGTTAATAGAAAGACACCCTCAGCCTGCATCTGTCTGTCTTCTCAACCTGTGCTGCCACATTCCTCTCTAGACTCTGCTCCCAGTACACAGCAGGGATTTTCTCATCCTTGAACCTTCTTAACTAACAGCCCCCTCCCCCCATCTCTGTTTCAAACAAGTCTCTGTCCACTGACTGATGACTCTGTGAAAGGTTTCTTTTTAAATTCTTTTCCCATGTCAGGTAACAACATAATCCTCTTGGTCTTCATAAAGATGAGTATAGACAAGTTAATTATTCTCCGCTGTTTGTCCTACAGACCCTGCCTAACCATACCGAGACTTCTCTCAGGTCAATTTGCACTAGGAGCATAATGCTGGGTGCACTTTTTCAGTGGTTTGATCAATTATAGACAGGCAGTTAGGATGTTACTTGGAGTTTTCTCCTACTACTTGTGTTATGCTGCCCAACCTCTTTAAGACTAGGCTTAGTGAGAGCTTTCCAAAAGGCATCTTCTCCCTGCTTTTGATGTAAGCTGACTCTCCCTCTTGGTTGGCACCCAAATTGTCGAATACTTCAAATTTTAGTGAGGCTTTACTTAGGTCTATGGAGCTTATCTATTCCACCTTGAGACAGTTCATCCCTGAATGATATTAAGTCCCAGATTCAGAGGAGGTCCCAACAACTTGCTGGCTCACAGGGA